GGGCTTAACAGAGTATCGCTCCCATTAGGAATGGTGTTACAGATGTGCCCAGGAACCCCAAGAATGATCCCATGGCCTGTTTTGGAGAGCGCTGTACAAGCATTCAGGAAGATGGAGTCTTACCTGGAGGAGATTATTGTAATTAAAGCGTGATGCAAGTATTGGGTGTGTCAAACAACTGGAAAATGGAGCACAGCAGTGATAGGAAAGTGTAGGTGGATAAACTGGTTATGATGTACAGCTAGCATAAATAAACATAACAAAGTACAGCAGCGGGAGCAAGAGGAGGAATATTTAACACTGATTAAGCGGAACGACCGACTCATATGTTGGTCACCTCAGGACAGGGTTGCATCTCATTTCTGTGGCGCTAAATAGTAACACCCTAATAAACAGTCTCTAACGTGAAATGCTGCAAGGCCCAGGGTCACCTTGGCGTCTGTGTTGATGCACAGCCAAGGAGGTTTATGAGTGGGTGAGCAGAGAGACATGATCTGCATTGACTTCCATCCATGGTAGTACGCAGGCTTATGTCTCCATTATGCTTTGCTACACCAGTGGGGTGGGGGGAACCACCCAGTCTGCAAACTCCTGGAAACCCCAGTGAAGGTGAGCTGGCTCAGCTTCAGCCCAGCTACCCCTGCAGTACAGGCTTTAGGGTCAGAACCGCCAGCAGAAAAAGGGGCAAAACTGGATGTTACATCTACTCTGTAAGCAAGAGGTGTGCTCGCTGATTTATATAAGCATTCCTGAACCAGCTTTAGATGTTACAGGGCAGTCTGTACAAACCTGCCTGAGCACTGGGCTAACGGCTCTGAGGAAACAACCATAGTGCTGCTGTCGGTAACTCCTTCCGAGCTGCTCAACTGTCTTTACGTGTACTTCCACCTCCCTTCCGATCCCAGCGCGGGCACAACCAGCTCCACAACTTCCGCATGAAGGAGTACAGCCACCACCTCTGGAAAGCGCAACTTCTGCATGAAGTACAGCCACCACCTCTGGAAAGCGAAAGGAAACACTCAGTGGCACCTTGATTCAAGCATGAGACTCGATGCACAGCCACCCGCACGCTCTTGTCACCTACAGGTCAGCTTTGGGCAACCGGAGGCCTCCTGGAATGAGCATTAGAGGGCAGCAACTCCATCAGAACGCTGTTTGAGGCTACAAGCAGTTAACTTTGGACCTTTGGGTCCAAAAGCCAGTGTGAAGGCACCCACACAGATTTGTGAGTGGAGAAATTATTGACCAGATGGGAATACTCTGAACTCTGGCCCCACATTTCTCCCTCAGTCCTAAAGAGCTTGCGTTTGCCAACCTTCGTGCTGTGATACACATCTCTCTTGTTTAGTCTGAGAAAACTGCAGAAACTCTTGTATCCTCATGTATTTTGCAAATCATTTGAACATACATAGCCTTTCATTCCCCAGTGTGTAAAAGGTCGTGCAAGACCCTTTTAACTACAGATTTCTAAAAGCCTTGGCAGATTCGATCTAAGCTGGCTCCTTCAGAAAGCTGACGCAAGTTCTTTGTTTTCCAGTCATCTGCAGGCTCACTAAACATCACTTACCTTCGCTTTGGCAGACCCGGTACAGATATGTTTTCACATCTTCCTTGCTGTAAACACGGACCAAAAATTTGCCCCTCCCCCCTTTGCATTTGGAAATACTTTGTGTACGTGGTCTGGCTGGCAGAGTTAATTTTCTTTGTAGCAGCCTGTATAGTGCCGTGCTTTGGATTTGTGACTAAAACACTGTTGACAACACCAACGTTTTACCTGTTGCTGAAGAGTGAACATGAGTCGGCCGTGTGCGCTGGCAGCCCAGACAGCCACCCCCATCCTGGGCTGTATCCAGAGAAGTGTGGCCAGCAGGTCGAGGGAGGGGATTCTGCCCCTCTACTCTGCTCTGGTGAGACCCCACCTGGCGTGCTGCGTCCAGCTGTGGAGCCCCCAACATCAGAAGGATATTGACCACTTGGAGCGAGTCCAGAGGAGGCCACGAAGATGCTCCGAGGGCTGGAGCCCCTCTGCTATGGGGACAGGCTGAGAGAGTTGGGCTTGTTCAGCCTGGAGAAGAGAAGGCTCCGGGGAGACCTTATAGCACCTTCCAGTACCTGAAGGGGCTACAAGGAAGCTGGGGGGGACTTTTTACAAGGACCTGTAGTGACAGGACAAGGGGTAATGGGTTTAAATTGAAAGTGGGGAGGTTTAGCTTAGATATCAGGAAGAAGTTCTTCCCGGAGAGGGTGGTGAGGCACTGGCACAGGTTGCCCAGAGAAGCTGTGGATGCCCCATCCCTGGAAGTGTTCAAGGCCAGGCTGGATGAGGCTTGGAGCAACCTGGTCTAGTGGAAGGTGTCCCTGCCCATGGCAGGGGGGTTGGAACTGGATGGTCTTTAAGGTCCCTTCCAGCCCAAACCGTTCTGTGATTCTGTTTGCTCAGCATCAAGGCCTTTTCATTTTCCCACCCTGCCCCCTAACACTTTACTTCTTTACTAAACTGCCTGTATATGAACCCACAAGTTTTTCTTGACTTTGCCCTTCCGAATCTCTCCCCCAACCCCTGCTAGAAGGGAGTGACAGAGGGACTGAGTGGGGGCTTATCCACCAGCTGGTGTCGACCCACCAGAGTCCTTTCTGGTGTCCCGTGGGACAAAAGAGCTGTGAGGCAACACCACCTGATCAGAGCATGCTGGGTGGAACTTACAGCTGTTGAGCTGGTGGTTGGCAGGGTCCTGTGCTTGCTTGCCTTACTGTGTGTTATTCTGGTGCTTGTCAGAGGCTGGCTGGGACTTTTGCTGTTTATCATAGCACTTATCATCTCACCCGGCCGTGCCAGGGAACATTTTGTTAGCAGCGAGGGCCGCATGCCTGGGCTGGCACAGGGCCCGGGCCCTGCCGCCGTCCCCGTGCTGCTGTACTGGACATACTGGAACACCAGTGCCATGGGGTTAATTTTGATGGTGGCAGCCCTCAGGGTGCTGTGTCTTGGATGTGTGACTAAAAGAGCGTTGGTAATAAATGGGTGTTTTAGCTGTTACTGAGCAGTGTTTGCACAGCGTCAAGGCCTTTTCCTTTTCTGCTCTCTGCACTGCCAGTGAGCAGGCTGAGGGTGGCAGAGAGGTTGGGGAAGGGACACAACCAGTATGGCTGACCCCAGCTGACCAAAGCCCTTGCCATCAGCAAGCAGAAGTAGATTTTCCAGCTGTAAAATTGATGCAGATGCATTGAGTTATGCTCCTGCAATCAATTTTGCATTTGTCTAACTTTACATAGAATCATACACACAGATAAAGAACTAATTACTTATTTAGAACCTATTAAGATCATGCCCTAAACTGTTTTGCACTTATCGCACAAAATCCTGGTTCTGCTCAAGTTTGCAAGCATTTATCTGTTTTCTAAGGTAAAACCTGACTCCAAAGTTTACATTTTTTCTTGTAGTGAAGATGGCTTGTATTGCAATTTGATGGCTGTGTCCAACTAAACCAAATTAAGCGCCATTACAAAATATTAAGAAATGGCTCTTTTAAGATGAAGCAATTATTTATACAGTTTCATCATTTTAATCCTAATTAGCACTGGAAATTCCCACCGAGCTGAAAATTTTACTTTTGTGATGCAAAATTCCACTAATTGTTGCTAAAGAGGTACTACTGTCAAGGCAAATATACGAAATAAAATGTTGAAGTTTTTCATGCTACAATATTATCTTTATTCTCCAGTAAAAAATGACAACAGTTTGTGACACAGTAAAAAAAAAAAAAAAAAAAAAGAAAATAGTTGTTTACTTGTTATACTTTTTTCACTCCCATTCTACACCTTCATTTTGAAATGCATGGCCTGCAAGAAACAAGAACTGAAAAACTACTGCAATAAACTCGGATAACCCCATATGAAGTTCAAAGACAAACTACTTTGAAAAATCCATCCT